GAGAAAAATTACAACTATGCCGACCATAGTTTTAAATGAGGAACCACACACTTGTACGATTTTGCTGCAGCGATTTATTCGAACATTCACAGTTCTTCTTTTGGTCGTGCCGAAATCGCAGACTGCCGCGTTTTGAGAACGAAATAGGTCGATAGAAGGATTTTACAACATTAAAACAAAATTGAACGTAAGAAAACAAAACTTATTTTATGTAGAAAAGTTAATAATTTTATTTTTGTTGAAAAATACTTTTTGTTTGTCTATAAATTGACAGTTTTTGCTGCGAAAAATCGCACATATGTGTGCGTACTTGCGTTTTCGAAGCAGTAACGTCTGTAGCATCAAAAACGGTGCGGATTCGTTGCGAAGATGCGCACAGGTGTGTGGACGCCTTAAAAATATAAGAAAGGCATAAATTAATTAAAAACTTTAAATCTTTGAACACATTTTTTTAAATTTATTCTTTAGTATATATGAAAAGCAGCATGAAAACAATACAATGGACGGCATATAGTCTGAGTGTTGTTTTCTGCACGCGTTGTTTTGTGGCTGGTTCCGGCAAAAAAAAAAAACAAAAAAAAATTATGGCACCGATCACCAATCTCGAAAGTAAAACATGAAAATAGGTTTCTTATAGTACCTGAACCCTCCACATTTTCTATTAAAAGAGAGCCATTATTTTCGTACTTGCTGCAATTATCTATCAACAGCTTCACTGTTTTTCATTTGATTTTATAAATCAAACATGTTTCGCAATATATTGGTAGACTTAGATCGTTGGGAGTTTTCATCGTGTAAAATGATATTTGTCCAAACGTACATTTATTTTAGAAATAACAATTATATTTGACTTTTATATTATAAATCCAAAATAACAATTATTTTTGATTTTTATTTTATATGGCTTAGATAACAGTTATTGAAGAGTTTTATTTATAAAAGTCATCACTAAAAATCAGTCAGTGACTTTTACTTTTAAAAGTCATTAATATAAATCAGTGACCGACTTTCATTTTTTTAATCAATCGTATAAAAGTCATTAATATTTTTCGCAGTTAAAAAGGTGTTGGAAAACAAAAGTTTACTACGACTTATTCAAATGACTTATAAGTATGATTGAAAAAATAAAGATCAGTGACTGATTTTTATTTATGACTTTTATAAATAAAAGTCTTCGATAACTGTTATTTAAGACATATAATTTAAAAATCAAAAATAACTGTTATTTGCAGATTATTTAAATAAAAATCAAAAATAATTGTTATTTTCGATTTATAAAATAAAAGTCAGAAATAACGGTTATTTAAAGAGTAATTAAATAAAAGTCAAAAAATAATTGTTAAAGAGTGATTTTTTTAATAAAAGTTGTAACTGTTACGGTCCCTGTTCAAAACATATTCCAAATTTTATGTATGTAAATCCGTCCAGCCATTTCAACGCGAAGAATTGGCAAACATACCCTTTTAAAAAAATTACACTTTGCTCGATGTTTTGCAGTTAAGTTTTGGGATTTCTCATAAACCAAAAAACATTTCTACATGACCTCGCGGATTTTATCTCAGACATTTGTTAAGCAATATGCGGTTTTAATATGAACTTGGAATATTTTTACTAATTTCAAAAATAATAAAATTGCTAAGAACCATGAAAATACTCGTATAATGGTATTAAATATCAAAAGAAATGACAAATTCTCAAAATTCCTCAAAAGAATATGTTCCACAAATGTATGCGGATGGATGTTAATTCATTCATAGTTTTCATAGAATTAAGAAGTTAATTAATGTAGTTAATTCCAATGATTTGAAAGTTACTCGGCTGAAAAATCCGTATAACCATTCAGCTTTTTGTAGTTTTCCTAATTTAAGTGAATATTTTCTAACGACATTTGAGTGTAGGATCATTTTTGATAGACGTTTTGTCAAACAATTACAGTTTCCGAGCAACATCAAAAATAAAACATAATGGCTTGAACACAATGAAAACGACGAGCTCTGGACCACAGCTGTCAAATTATTTTTCCCCGTATTCTTATGTCGATAATTGTTTTGGCGGCGACAGGGCTACGCGACGACTGTGGTTGTGGCCAGATTAGATTTATTTCTATTTTTCCAGCGACAGATAAAGTTCTTCCTCTTCTTTTATGTCAAACTTATACAAATTCATGATGTCGCTGTCGCGTTCAAAAAAGTCATATCGCCATCGACAAAGCACTTAGATAATGAAGATAAAAAATTGGAAGCTATGGCCCGTAGCTCGAAGTTTTCAATTTTTTCGGCACTTAAGAAAGCTTTTTTTTTTCAATAGCGGTCGCCTCTCGTCAGGCTATGGCAAATCTCTAACTGTATTCTGGCCAATGCTGCCAGATTCACAGTTTGAACTATAAATTACAGCTCTTTAGCGGAAATACTGCAGCGCTGATGAAAATTTGCAAGACTTTTTCTACTTCCTAATTGATAAAACGTTGCCAGAAATTAACACCGAACGTGATACTTTAAAAACTCGCGCAACACTGCGGTTGCAAAAATATTTTCCCAAATAAACTAGAAATTCCGGCACTTTTTGGTATTTTAAGAACTACACATTTCTTTAAAAAAAATGCTCCAGGAGGTATTAAATTCGGGGCATCGAATCAGAGGCTAAAGAAATCACCAAATACGAAATTTGAAAGTACATTTCATTAAAACAAAATGTGATTTAAATTGTCCGTTTTATAAAAATTTAGTTTTGTTTAGTTAAGTATAATTTATACAGCTTTATGCTACTTTATTTTAAATGTCAAGTAGTTATAACTGGTAGAAATATTGATGTGCTATCTTTTGTCGCGGGGTGTACATATGTATGTTGAAATAATGTTGAAATAAAATTGAAAAAAATAAATAAAATATTTTGTTCGAAAGCTAAGGTTTTGAGCTAGACTTGAGGAAACTTAGAATAAAATCGACTAACCAGTTTTTTGAGAAAATGCCCGAAACGTATATTTTCAGCAGCCCGATTTTTAGTTTTCAGGCGATAACGTTATGACATATTTATAATTTATAAACCCAAAAGATTTGTTTGAAGACCCTTCTACACATCAATGACAGTGGTAGTTTAAAAAATTGACTTTTTTCGAATTTCAGGCACCAGCCACGTCCACAAAGGCATACGAATAGAAACGTCCTGGAACAAAACCTTCGTATTTTTTTTGGTACTTTAATTTTAATTTAGCTCTATATCTTTCCAACTAGTAGCCAGAACGCAATATATAAGGTATCGTTTGAAAGGTATTGACCCATAGAATAACACTAAATATGTCGGGTGTACCCACTTACCCCCTTACGCCTAGGACTTAACATGTAGAATTCTGTTGGGTTTTGATTTTTATGTAAGAATGGTATAGCAGTGCAAGTATGCATAACTGAGCTATTAGAGTCATAACTGTAGCCTAAAAGTTATTTGCAGGGCTGGAAACCATTCTAAAAATAGGTGCGATTCGGTTCAGTGGTTCGAACCACTTAGAAAAAGCTCGTACCGGTTCATAAGTATGCCTGAACCGCGGTTCGGTTCAAATGGTTCCATTTTTTTATGCTAAATTATACAAATTTGGCAAAAATGTGACAAATCTATAATATAAAAATAAAAGCCTTTGTTACTGAGATCAAATTCTAATATCCACATGTATTGTGGTGGAAAACCAAATAGGGCGCAACATTTTAGCAAGTTTTGGCTACTTTTCATTTGTTTATTTTTTACCCATATGAATCCAAGCAAAAATTATGAAAATTCTGCAAAGTTTTATCTCAAGTGCAAACTTAAAGAAAAAAATCTATAAAAAATTTAAAAGTTTTAAGCTGATTTTTGGCAATTTTTCACTCAGTTTCTTCCATACTAAGTATGTGGGAATGTTTTTTTTTTTATATGGTAGAAAATGCGTAAAACCTTGAACAAAAAAATGGTTTAAAATCAACGCGATCAAGATGAAATTAGAAAAATTTTCATATACTTTTTTAAGGTTTCGACAAGTCGTAAGCCTAGTCGAGTAGACGGAATCAGCATACTCAGAATTTTCAACTGACACTATAAATTTGAACTTTCCTCTTTTTCGGTAGGTTGGGGCTTACACTAGGCCTTAACTTCATATGTACAACTATGGTAAAATTAATAGGAGTGCGACATTTGACTACTTTTCTTTAGTTGGTTTAATATTCTTTAATTTTTCATAAAAGTATAACATCAGCCAAAATTTAAACCTTGTACGAAAATTAGAAAAAATAAACAAATTTCAACCAAATTGCATCAAAGTACCAAAATTTTTAATCAGAACTAAAAAAAATCCGAGTATGCTACATTGTAGCTCATTCCACTTAGTGTAATATGTTAAGTGCAAGTTTGAATTATCTTAAAATTCGCATTGATTTTTGATTTTTTTTTATGGCGTTTTTAAGCACATATTTTAAGTATTCTTTATAAGGGCGAAATTAGAAATCACAGAGTTGCCATCAAACAAAATATTTTTGCAGTTTTACCATGCGGGTTTTTAGACAAAGATTTTTATTACAAAACTTGACATATGCTCTTTTTTATCTAATACCAGTCCTCTAAATTCACAGAAGTAGTTTTGTGGAAAGTCCTACATAGTTTTCGATGATCTGGCAACCTAAACCTTTCGTATTTCACAACATTGACTCCGTCGTTAAAAGCCGCATACATTTTTTATCACTGCTTTATAATAAAACCTTAAAGTGGTAAAATTATTTACTTAACTGATAAATGCTATGTAACTCTGTTTCATTTTAATTACAGACCCTACCAACCGGCACCCGTGCCGTAAGAATGCGGTCTAAACCGCCGATCATCATATGAAATTCCAACCAAAGACTGCAAAAGTATTGGTTTCCAACAACAGCAACAACAAAACTTTAACTACTTAAGCTCCAAAAGCACAATGATGAAAACAAAACCTAAAATAAATTTTATATACTTAGCTATAGTATTTAGTATAGGCATCCAAACAAGTTATGGTAAGTTATGCTACCTTTATACATTTCACACGTATGTACATACATACGCATATCTTAACCTACGTCCAACCACATTCACCTCGGCCGAACAATTTCAGCACAAACCACCTGCAAGAATGGCCTGGGACGTGTTCTCTACGAACGATTGCCCAACCAACAATTACAGGGCTACGATGATGATGTGGTGCGCGACACAGCGCCGCCCTTTCGCGTCCTAGAAAAGTGTCAAGATTTGTGCCTGCGCGATCGCACCGGCACCAACAATCTAGTGCGCACTTGCACCAGCTTCGACTTTCAGCCAGGCAGTCGCATCACCTCATTCGGTGGCACTTCCGAATACGAAGAATCCCTCTGCTATCTAACATCGGAGCAGGCGGGTCCTGAGGGCATCGGCAGTTTGATGTTAGTGCCCAACAGTGTGCATTTCAATGAGATCTGTTTGACATGTAAGTGTTGGAGTGGGGCATGCAGCACCAACTAGCGCGTTAATAAAATAACTGTGTAATTAATATTTTTGCTTTTTGTTTTGTTGCCTCACCATATAGCCAGTCGCCCGGAGAGAGAATGTCCCAGTCGGCGTTATGTATTCGAACGGCATCCACGCAAGAAATTGAAATTACCAATATCGGATGTTAAGGAGGTGTGTGATGATTATCAGCAACTACAACTGTTCTTTGATGGTCTATTATTTTTAATCTTACTGTTCTTGTTGCTAACTTTATTGCCTATGGCACCCGTGTAACACATTTGTGGTTAACTCATTCAAGTTTGTATTCATACAGTTTACGGCAGCAAATCGTTCGGATTGTGAGGACAAGTGTTTGAATGAGTTCGCCTTCGTTTGCCGCTCCGCCAATTTCGATTCGACCATGCGTTCGTGTACTCTGAGCAGGTGAGTGAATTGTTAACGAGCATGCACATACTTATTTAGGACGAATTCACACTCTCTTGATACAAAAGCATGAAATTTGTGTGTCAAGATGTAAATAATTTTAAACATACACAGGATAAAATTAATACATAAAAAATATAGAATATTCTAGGACAAGGTATGTTGCATACGATCCTTCCCTTAAAGCCGCCACAAGTGTGCATAACTGGTGAGGCCGAAAAAAGGGTGTGTAGCTTTGGGCAATAATTTTACCTGCCTGACGACTGCAATGTTATTTAGGCGGAAATCTTTGCCATACGCCTCTTTCAAGGAAAGCATTAGAATGCACAGGGGTGCAGTTGAGATTTATAAGGGAATATCGGGAAATGTCAAGTAGCTCTAAGGGATCAATCTAAAACCACAGCGAATTTTTTTTTGAGACCTTAGATTTGACGGTTGGGACTCAGGTACCAATCATAAATTGATTAAAATTCAAGTGTGAATTCCGCCTTATAATTCTATATGCAGCTACTTATATATTTACAAATGCATACTCTGTATTTCTTGCAAATTGAAAGATAACCAACACTTATCTGCGTACTTGAACCAATAAACAGTGGCGTATATATAAATAGAGACGCGACCTTCCAACAAGTTTTGACTGTTTTTTCTTTTTTTTTAATATTTATTATTTTTTTATGTAATTATTGCTCGTTACCTAAGGAAAACAATGTAAGCCCAAATTTCAAACTTTATACAAAAATTCCAAAAAATGCGACACATTCTAATCAAAATTTCGAGCTTTTAATTCGATTTCTTAGAAAAATTTTGAGTATGCAGTTTTGAAGTAGCCAAGACTTATTGTTGATTTTTGGGAATATTTATTTTTTTTACGTAAGTTTCTCCATATAAAAAAATTTTCGAGTTTTATTGAAAAAGGAAATAAATAAAATTGCGTAACACCGTCAACATAATAATAGCTCAAAACCAGCGGTTGTTTGTAATTACTTTAAACTTGAATACCAACTGCATATCCACAATTTTCCAAAAAAAATCGGTTGAAAAATTTTCATAAATTTTATATAAAATTTAAAACTCTAACTTTCATGGTTTCTAGCTAGATAACGAGCTACACTTTCGAAAAAAAATAATAAACATTAAATAAACAAAAGAAAAATTGCCAAACTTATTAAAATATCGTGTCCCTATTTATGTTTTCGCCAACGTATATACCTATGTAAATGAGAATATAACTACAATTAATTATTTATATTCTAATCAACAGATTCACACGTCGCACACATCCAGAATTGCTGGAAGATGACCCCAACTCTGACTATCTGGAGAACACCTGCCTGAATGGTATGCAAATACCAGTTTCATGGTCATTACTTTCCTTCATGTAAATTGCATGCACATGCACATACACTTACATATGTACAAGTGCATGCATATCTACTTGTTTCTTGCTTGTTATCATTCCAACTCAAAACAAATGCCACTTATCAAATGCTTACATATTCATCTCTCTACGGAAAATATACACCTGGTCCGGCAATTAAATAACAATTTTTTCCTTTTGTTTTTTTTTTTTACTCTACTTTCAACAGCTGAGCGACGTTGTGACGGCCTGGTCGTGTTCGTTAAGGAGGAGAACAAACGACTGGGCGGTCCCTTCGAGGTGGATATATTCAATAACATGACATTGGAAGAATGTCAGACGATGTGTCTGCGCGCCGAGAAGTAAGTGGCAGTGTGCAGCCCCCCACCATTTAAGTTTAAGCACAGGCATACATACATACGTATGTACCCACTGATTACATAACCTCACTCTTAACATGCGTTGTGCAAATATAATTAAATAATTACTAAAGTTGGTAATTGATTGTTGTGCAATTGCAGATACTTTTGTCGCTCCGTCGAGTACGATGATCAGACGAAGCAATGCATTTTATCTGAGGAAGATTCCATTTCACAGAAAGACGACATAAGCATCAGTTCCAGTCCAACACATCATTTCTATGATCTGGTCTGCTTAGACAACCGTAAGTGTATTGGAGGGGGGGAGGGGATGTGGTGGAATGTTGTAAATATGAAATGTGCGTGTTGTTGCAGTATTATCGTATGAACGTTGCAATCTGTTGGCATGCCTGTTGTGGTTCTAGTTACAGCCAATCTTCCACCATGCCTACTCGCCTACATCCACCACGCCACCGATTCAGTCATTGTTGACCTATTTCACTACTGACTTCAGTAGTAATTGCTTTGCGATTCTATTTTCTTATAATCATTGTTCTTCTTCTACCATTTGATTGCAGAACGCGCTAATGATTATCCCGATAATTCCGTCACATCGCATCTATTCTCGTCGGGTCGCCGGCCTGATACCGCATTTCAGCGCTATCGTAATTCACGCCTGGGCGGCGAATTTCATTCCGAGATTACTGGACGCTCTTTGAGTGAATGCTTGGATGAGTGTCTGCGTCAGACGAGCTTCCAGTGTCGGTGAGTATAGCATAAATAAATGTATGCATAAACATTCGGGCAACTCATAAAATACACAAAAAGCTGCTATTCTACAATAAAAAGTTGAAGTCTAAAATGGCAGGATGTAGGTGCAAGGTGGCGCAGAATGTATCAACCTCTTTGAAGGCGATAGAACATTTTCCGTTGGCGGTAAACATAATTCGTTTTTGAATATATTAACGGGTAACAGTTACGAACTTTATTGTGTTTCAAAATGCCGAGGTATAGGCACTAGAACGCGGAAAAATTGTTTCAATGCTTTTGCGGAATAATTCTTCGGTAATTTTATTTCACCGTACATTTCAAAAACAAATAACCAAACCTTGTGGCGCCACCTACTCAAACAAGTCAACGTCTGGAGGCTCGACTTTAAGAGATTGGGTCAACCCGAGATCAGAAATCAGCTGGTCGGCCCCGAACAAGTCAATCAATGGGAACATCCAAGCTGTGAAAGATAGTGTCGAGGATAAGCCATTAACGCAATTAACCATTTCTCTGTGGTCCCCTCCAAAAATTTTGACCAAATATTTTGAAGTTGTTTCCATCCAAAATTCAGATGGTTTAACAGCTGGTAGCGGTATTTAAAGGGGCTGGTGTACATAAGCACGCCGCGAACCCTCGGGCCCCTAAAGAATAACCTTGGACAAAAAATATACATTCTAGAACCGGAAATCGTGACAAAAGTGATGCAAAATGCCATAAAAAGAGCCGAAATTTGCTTCAGCTCAAGTGGCTACCTCCTATCAGAAACATATTATTTTCCAAACATAAAAAAATTAAATGCTCTGCTTCAAATACATATTTTGTATTCAGATTTTTAAAAAGCGTGTGTGGGATTGCCTTAAGCTTGCAATACTTATCGCACCCAGGAGCCGGGTATACCTCATTAGGGTACCAGAAAAAAATAAATTTACTCCTGATTTGATTTTTGGAAATCCGGTAAAAAGATCCTTCGACTCCGCACAACGAAAGCATGCGCACCCACGGACACAAGGGAAGTGGCCTCTTCTCATATCGAAACAGAAGTCCCACCAGCCGGAAGCGGTCTAGATGTTCTCCTGCCTGATTTAAAACATATACATATGTCGTGCTGTCCTGCACGTGGGCTCTGCAGACAATATTCTATTAGCTTTTTGGATAAAGCCATTTTCCAACAAAAATTATAGTGATTATAGTCAAGTCTCTTCATAAGCTGGGAGCTGAAACAAACCTAATCACGCGTTTTTACAGCTTACTTTGCGACAGGACTGTCGTGGCGGATTGGGGAGCATCTGTACTCAGCATGGAGCTAATAGGGCACCCCCCCCCCCCCCCCCATTGTTCCTCTCCCTGCTCTTGATTTGGGTTTTAAACGATCTTTTATGGAAACCGGGTGGTTAACTGGCTCGAAAGCTGCAGAAGTAGGAATAGGTGCAATCAAGTTAGGGATAGATACACTACTGACGGATGTAACGTCAACTAGTAAGGTTAGCATATACTCTGATAGCCGGTACGCTCGAAAACAGTAAGGGAATGTCTGATCCCTCAACCGGGTTGGAGTACTTCCTAATAAGGCTCATAGCCTATTTCCACTAAGAGCTTCACTGCAGTTAAGAGCTTAGGTAAATTCAAGGAACGTTAAAATTGGTGAACGGCAAAGTTTATTTCTTACTTTGTGCTTTCTTGCTTGCGATTGCTTGTACTTTATATGAGCGATTACCTCCTTCGCGTTGTAATCTCCTTTTTCCAATAGGCTTGAAATGCAGTTAAGTCTTGGTGGAAATGAGCTCATATTTGGGTGTCGGGTCACAATGAAATCGCGGGAAACTGCGTGGCTGACGACTTGGCAAGTCAAGGAAATTAAATATATGGGTCAGCTGGGGAAGGATCTACACTCCTGCGTTTCGCTCTTAGACAGTTGGGTATTATGAAAGCTCAGCAAGCGTTAGTCTAAAGTTAGGACATGCGCAATTGCAAGATCCTTCTGACCTGAGGTTGCCCATGGCGGTCAAGGCAGCTCTCACTTTTGGTGGGGGTTCTGACAGGTCATGGTTTTCACGGGTCAAGATTAGCGATCTGAACTGATCCCGTATCGATCCGCTTTATCAACGCTTTAATCGTACTGCTTCAGAGCTTACCTGTAATTTCCTATAAAAGTCAGCCGGAAAAAAGTGAATAAAGGTCTCTTGGGCTTTTTTCGTAGAGGTAAAGCCCCTGTGGGGAGAAATAAGCTCAGAGGCTTGACATTGTCTTCTGAGGGGTAATAGTTACCAGTATTTGTGTTTTCTGTATGTTTCTCGTACCGGGAACCGAACCTGGCTCCTGCCGAGTTGTAGTATGCACTTCTAACTAATTGGCTACGACGGCTGCCTTACGATAATTTCCGTTTTATAAAACATTTTATGTGCATGCGCGTAATTCACACGATTAGATACCTTTCTTCTACCGTACTTAGAAAGTGGTCGTTTACTCGAAGAAGCCCCTTTTGTCCGACCGATAGTCGCCCAAGCTATGTATTCAGTGGCCGCTGCCAGCCAAAGGAATTTGTTTTTTCCTAACATTTTCCGCTCGCATTAAATCAATAACAACTGTATGACTGCGATTCCGATGGCAAATTAATTAACTCAACTCAACTCAACTCACTAAGTGGAAAGTCGACTGAAGACTCAATACATTAACATATATACATTGTAGATAAAAATGTATTGCACGTAACTGTAACTTTTGTTCCGCGTTGACTGACATTTAAGTGGTCATTTAAAATTGTGAACAGTAAATGGAGTAAACGGTTCAACGAACAAATCAAAATCATTAAATAAACTTGTCGTATTAAATTCTTTGCTTCATTTCCACTTTTACCACCTCTCTATAAGACACACAATTTAACAGTTTCGTTTCAATCATTTCTTTTCTATAGATCAGCCGTTTACAGCGATCGCTTTCGTACGTGTCGCTTGAGTCGCTACAATCAAAAGGATGGTATGCGCATTATTTACGATGCCGACTATGACTATTATGAGAATCTAATGTGTAAGTAGTGCAATAAAGTTGCCACATTCGCGCTGTCGTCAACATAAATAAATAAATTTATATCTGCTCTTTTTCTTTGGAAGTGAACGTAGTAGGCGGTGGTGACGCAGATGGACATGGCAACGCTGGTAATGGCGGCAGCCACCGACCTGGTGAGCATGGAAGCACTAATTGGCGTCCACCCAACAAAGACGACGATCGATATGGCGCGGGTGGAGGCGGTAGTTCAGGTGGTAGATATCCTGGTGCTGGAGGTGGCGCGGGAGGTGGACCGGGAGGAGGTGGCGCTGGTGTTGATGACTACGGGCGTCCTTACGATCGCTATCCGATAACAGACGATTATGGTAAATCTATAATAAGTATGTAGCTTTATTGTCAATTAATAAATACTATGATGAGTGCTAAAATACTACTATCACGTGTTCATTACTAAAAACTTGCAAATTTACATTTATTTAAAATTATTTCTTTTGTGTATGTAACTTCTTTCACGCTTAGTTACTTACTTACCCGCTAACAAACTAACAACGAACGCTTTATTAACCCTACTTCCCCAGATCGCTACCCAGGAGGCGGCGGCGGCGGCGGCAGTGCGGACCGTTATGCTGGAGATAGCCGTTATCCACCACCTGTAGATGGGCGTGACCCTTACGATGAACGCTATCCACTGGGTCGTCTGCCCGCCATCGACAATGAACGCTATCCGGGCGACAGAGATCGCTATCCCGGCGGCAGCGTGGATTTGTATCCTGGCGACCGCGACCGCTACCCATTAGATCGCGATCGTGATCGTGATCGTGATCGGCACCCTAGTGACCGCTATCCCCTCGATCGTGACCGTGATCGTTATCCACTTGGCGATCGTGATCGCGACCGTTATCCAGGCGGTGATCGCGATCGTTACGCTGGCGACAGAGATCGTTACCCAATTGGTGATCGTGAACGGTATCCGATAGGTGATCGTGTACGCGACCGTTATCCCAGCATCGACGATCGTTATCCACCTGGTCGTTATGGTGAACGTGACCGCGATCGCGATCGTTATCCAGTTGGTGACTATCCACCGCGTGATCGCTATCCTTACCGGCCTTTGGATCGTTATCCTATACCACCAGTCACGGAAAATGGTTTAGGTGGTGACGTGCCACATACGCGACCTTACCCACCAGACGATGATTTGTCTTATCGTCCATATGGCACTACGGGCCGCTATCCAGAGGATCGCTATGCCAGTCGTTATCCCTCGCGATATTCGCCAGCGAGGGATCCCATAGGCGGCTACACAGGCCGCGATGCACCCGATAGTTTCTTTCTTGACAAACGTTTTCGTCCCTCATCTTATGATTCGCGATATCCGCTGCTGACTGGCGGACGTGGTGGACCACCGCCGCGTTACGGACCAGACGGACGTTATCCACCAGATGATATAATACACAGCGCCCGAAGACCAGAACCTGACTCGGCAAAGAGATATCCACCAGCGCCGTTAGTGCCGCCTACCACGATAAGTAAATATCCTTCATCTCCAAACCGCTTTCCGGTAGGTACTGAGCGCTTTCCAATCGATATATACAAATATGGCAATCGATTTGGCAGCAGCGGCAGTAGTAGCGGCGTTAGACCAGGTAAGCGCACCTAAAATAAATGCACACACTAATCGACTAGCAAGCGTTTCGTGTGCCTAACCCTTCATGTTGGAGATATCAGATTTGTATTATATAAATCGTTTCAACCTATCGTGCAGGTTACGAACGCCCACCACCGCCGCCACACTATTACGATATGGACTATGAGGAGCGCTATGGTGATCGCTATGGCGGCTATGATCGCGAATATGAAGGACCAATAGGTAGACGACCACTAGGCGGCGGCTATCCACATTACGAGACGCCCTTCAATCGCCCCTATGGCCATGGCTTAGGCGCACCACCGCCACTCGATGACAATCGTCCGCTACCGCCACCACTGCACCCCTACGGCGCTGGTGGACATGGCGGCGCCGTCGTCGGCCCAGGTGTTGCTGCTGGCGGTCCACCGCGTCCGCAATTGACGCGCTGTGAGGAGACAGATAATTTTAAGCAAATTGCGGCCAGACACAAAATGCGACGCCACTATGTGCGACGCGCGCTAGTCGTGCCCTCGCTGATACAATGCGAGCGAGAATGCATCGAGTCGCGGGAGTTCGTTTGTCGCAGCTTCAATTACAGGTAAGTGTCCAAGATGATTTGCTTAATTACGAGACTATCAGAGCGAATAACCGGTATTCACCTGCGCAGAGATGCGGCGGCTACAAATTATGATCAACGCGATTTGCCCAATTGTGAGCTGAGCGATCGCGATTCGCGCGAACTGGACGTACACGATCCCAATTACTTTGATGCAGCCAACTATGACTACTACGAACGTAGTTTGGGGCGCAGCGATGGCGAGTGCATGGATGGTGAGTGGAGGGAGCAGGGGAATTACTTTAAGTTAATAAATTTGTGCATTATTTTGATTTACAGTAACACAAACCTGCAACGAGGAGGGCATGGAATTCACTATACGCACACCGGAAGGTTTTCTTGGACGCATCTACACCTATGGCTACTATGACAGGTGTGTGCGCGCGTGCAAATAAGATTATCGTCTGCGATATTTACACTTCAATCCAATAATAATATATAATTTGCTTATAGATGTTTCTTCCGTGGCAATGGTGGCACCGTGAACGTGTTGCGCATCAGTGGCCCACAAGGCTATCCCGATTGCGGCACACAAAGAGTAGGCTTTTCTATTTAAATTTTATTACTCGTTTCTTTATTCGCACTTCTCGTTCTATATAAAGCATGTATGTACTTGCTTTATCGGATCATAACCAATGCTTTTTTTCTCTTTACACAGTACGGCGACACGCTGACCAACATTGTGGTTGTGCAATTCTCCGATAATGTGCAAACCAGTCGCGATAAACGCTATAATTTAACATGTGTTTTCCGGGGGCCCGGTGAAGCGGTTGTCACTTCCGGTTATATTGGCGCAGGGTAAGACAAATGAATTGAAATGCGCTGCTTTAAGTAAGGCTTGAAAGTGCGTTGCATACTTGTAGGCGCATGTGAAATGTTGTGGTAGTGAGTAGCGTTGCTTAGCGTATTCTTGAAGCTCTCGCTGAGCTGATGATCATGTAGTTCATAAAATTAGATGCGAAAATATTTCTCTGTTTATTTATAGAAGAGACTATTCTGGCGTGAACTGTTGAAATCGAGTTGGCTATTTAATCTTAAATATTTATCCGAAGGGTATATTTAATCTCAAATCCTAACCCCAGTGAACATTTTTAATTACTAAACCTTTCTAAGTCCAAAATAATAAATACATTAGCTAGAAATTGTTTGTAATTATAATTTTGCTGTGGTGTATTCTGAAATAACTTGTCAGAGCCTAAGTAGACCCTTCAATTAAGTCGTGACTTGATTTACCATTCTATTTATTAGAGGAGAGCCTTTAGGGCTAAAAATACCACATTGTTTGCGAAAAAAGATTAATTGTTATAAATCCCTGCTTAAAGACATTTTTCATACTGAAATTATTTCGATGGCACATCCAGCCGGAAAATTCAAAGAGTCTTATTTTGGTTGTTGGTGTTTCCGACTGGATACGAGGATAAAGTATTGTGGAACGATTTTGTTCGTCATCCCTTGTAAAATTTAATTCTGTGTCGTGTCATCTTTAGTGTAATTTTTCGTTCAGAATCGTTTCGCAATATCAAATTCAAAGAGGTTTGGCCCAAATTTTGATCATGCTGTGTCCCAAGGATCCATTTCAATCGTCATGCACCATGACAAGAGAAATTCCGGGCCGGGTATTATATATGAGCCGCCCCCTGGAAGGAAAACAGTAAAATTGGGCGAAAATGTAGAATTCAGCCCTCGAACTTAAACTTGTAAAATTTCCAAATCTCAAAGTGCATAATTTTAGAAATTCTTCAGACTGAAGCCTAAATAATCAGCTGTTAAATTGCATATGGCAAACATACGTATATGCATACATATTGAAGACTATAAGCTTCGTAATAACTTTTTCTCTTGAGACGAGAAGCTTAGTAATTCCGGTTCTTGAAGGAAAATTGAACACTTGCCAGACTTTTTTGTTTGAAAATTTCGTTCAATTCTCGATTATTTGCTGGCAGTTCGCCACATTTTTCAGTTCATGGGCGCCACCAGCAGCCTGATTAAAAGATTTCCGTTTTGCATACGCAAGGTTGAGAGTTTTTCGTCAAATATTCTCGGCTTTAATACACCGATTGGTGCTGGTCTTCAATGAAGAGGTATTATTGTCTCAACTTCCGATGGGTTTCATTGCTGAGTGTGCTACTTGTTCTTCCGATATACTACAGTTGATGCCTCCGAGGCAGCACTTTTAATCACCTACTGACAGTATCGAAATAAAATTGCCTCATTGGACTCCGAAGCTGCTGCACTGGTACATTCATTGTGTTCGGTTGCGCCGATACTTTCGTTGTCCGACTGTAGTTGACGAATCGATATATTCTTCATATTATCTCACATCGTTCTCATGGAATCCTTCTGTTTTTCATAAATACTCATTAGTAGTTCTATTCGTATCGACTCCTTCATACATACCTTCGCATCCTTATTTAAACAATTGACTTATTGCCTGCCAAGCATTCAAAAAGGTAGGCTGCGAATCATACCCGGGGGCCTTGGCGACTCTAGCGCAGTTACTGTTTGGATATTGTAGCCGTCTCAACAGCTAACTGTCCAGTCTCGATCCCAATACCTCCAATCAGGGGTCGGCATGTGGAGACTCCCCCACCTCTTGCAAAGAATTTACTTTACATTTCTTGCTAAGTTGTAATTTTTCTTCTTCTTGTTTTCACTTTGCTTATTCACAATAACAAAAGCGCAGCAATGCATTTCTAAAATTTTAAGAAAACTTTCGTGCTATTCACATATCTTTTACTAGTGGGAAACTGTAAATTTTTTAACCATAAATACTTTATATTTAGAGTTTCAACATCACAGATGAGGGACTCGCCTTTGTATGGTTGAACATAAATAAATATGCATTTGTTCTTAACTGACTGAAATTAGGTAAGGATTGGCAGGTAACCAAAGTACTGGCCGCCTAGACTTCAAGTAATGTTCGGTTAAATTCGGGCTGACCTAGCTTTGAACCCAAGAGCAAACAATAGATTTGAAATGGTGTTATATATGTATTTGTATGCTAGTTAATAGTTCACGCCGGGGTGGAGAAGTCTTTACAAAAAATTATTGTTTCGCCAGAATAGTCTGTTAATTATTTTATGACTTCTTCTAGCTGTCTATCAACTATACGCTTGTACTGCTGATAGTCTTTATGCTATAGATAAGCTTATATTAATTTTATTTAGCTACCACTAATCCCAGTAAATCGTTGTACTCTAAATGCAACGAAATGAGCGGTGGAGAGGCATAAATAAATCGCTGTGCTCACTTGTTACAAAGCTCAGCATTATTTCATGTAATCGCCACGAAACATTTTGTTGACCCATTGCCACAATGTGTTTCTGTATGAAGTCTCACTGATTCCCACAGATCCGGCAGTCCCATACCAATCGAATACTTACCCGCAGAGAATACGCTCAGCTCCAAAGTTCGTCTCATGATACTGTATCAAGGACGTCCGACCACCACTATAGCAGTCGGTGATCCACTAACTTTCCGCTTGGAGGCACAAGATGGCTACAATCATGTAACTGATATATTTGCCACCAATGTGGTGGCGCGTGATCCATACTCGGGCAGGAGTATACAGCTTATCGATCGCTTCGGGTATGTGCATCATTTGTTGCTGTAAAAATACCATGTTTCTTAAAAATTACTTACGCATCCATTTAGTTGCCCCGTGGATCCGTATGTCTTCCCCGAACTGGATAAATTGCGCGATGGTGATACGTTGGAGGCGCGTTTCAACGCCTTCAAAATACCCGAATCTAATTTCCTCGTATTTGAGGCTACAGTTCGCACTTGTCGCGATGGCTGTCAACCGGCTTATTGTCCAGGCGCAGCTGGACGGCAGGAGCCCTCGTTCGGTCGTCGCAGGCGTTCGTTGAATGAAACAGATGTTGTGGAAATTGAATCGAATACTGAACCGGTAGCTGAACATTTGATGGACGACATGTCGGAGATGAATAGTACAAAGGTGACAGGCACTTTGGGAGATTTTAACAAAAGTGAGTCGTTAGTTTTCTAAAAAAAAAAACACTGAGTCCATAATAATAAAAAAACCATACGGCTCTTACAGCTGCCACAAGCGATGACAAGTCCAATCAGGAGCTTGAAGAACCCGAGCAAGTGCGGGAAATGATTGAGGTAAGTTGTCGAAAGTATTTAAAAAATATCGAATTAAAATTTTAACAAATACTGAGTCATTTTTTTATGTTATAAGTAACTACTTTATTCCTTTCCTTTGATCAAGGTATTTGAAACCCGTGAAGAGATCGAGAAGGAAACATATCCACGCAAACTAGTTGCTCCCATAGAGACCGTATGCATGACACCCTCTGAGTATCACGGCCTTATAACAGCCATTATATTGCTAATGTTTTTACTATTCAGTATTACTTTGGTTTCTGGTTTAGCTTACCGGTATGATTTGATTAAAATTTACGTTTGCAAGAGCATATTTTATTTTGCAAAAAAAAAAAAAA